TCTGTGACTAAGCATCTACTATGATTATTCTGTAAATCAAATTAAACAAGGGCACCACAAAGCAGAAGCTGAGCATCCCCTTCTATAAATCAAGGCAGCATTTGACAATGAAATTAATGTCACTTCTGTTTTCCACAGGACAGACTTGCACACACAAAACTAACACATACACAAGAGCATTAGGCCAGGTAAAATTAATCTTTAGATTCTCATCCTAATTTGCTAAAAAATTGGGGCGGGTGGGCGGATTTTATTTTTTATTTTTTATAATTGTTAATTTATATATAGGCCTAAGTATCAACAAAACAATGGACTTCCCGTACACATTTTTTTTTCATTACCTTAATGCAAATATGAATAGATTTAATTCTTTTCATATTCTTTTAAATATTTAAAGAAAATTTTTGCTTTAAAAATTAAATATTTATTGTTAATTAACAAATTATCAAGTACACATTATACGGCACACCCTGAACAAAATGAGGTAGGGATACCAATAAATTGTGTATGCGTGACTTCTTATTTTGCAAAAACTATATAAATGTTCTAATAATTATTCCACTGAAAAATCTAGGCCTTCTCTTAAGTCTGTCTACGATGTTGTAGATTTTTTTTTTATTTCAAATCAAAGTCACACAGCTGGAGATCGTTAAAACTTGACCAGGTGTCATTTTCCTTGTCTATTTTGGTTATTTAAAATCTCTCTAAAAATACTTGCTCATGCCAGTGGTGATATCTAAATGTGTTTATGCTATTTTTTCTTCTATTTCTAATATATACTGACAAATTATCTCTTCCTTCCTTATTTAAACTGCTTTTATTACCCATTTTTCTCCATTCTTCACATGCCTCTTTTGCTATAAATAGTGACACACGACTTTTGATACAGACAGGAGATAAATCTTAAACTTTGACCGAAATTCTTGCTGAATAAAAATACATGAAAATACCCAAAAATCAAAATAAAAAACATCGGGGCGGGACATTTTTAGAGGGGCGGGCGGGCATGAGAATCTAAAGATTAATTTTATATGGCCTTACAATATAGTATATATAACCCTATATCCTGTCTAACTCTGTTGCGAGGGGATATAATAATATCCATTTTTCCCTGTTCCTTCAATTTGATCATATAGTCATAGATAATTTCTAAATTTATGAAGGCTAAGGACATGATGTACTTTAGTAAAGTGCAGAGTTTGAACTATTCTCTGCCTTTTTCCTGTCATGTGTAACAACAAGCATTCCAAAGCATTTTATGTGGTTCATTAAATTGTTATTATGTGACATCATATTACAAGATAAGCTGCATACTGAATAATGCACCAAAGTCTCACTGCAGTATAGCATCCATGTGTAGATTTATATGTACATGTATATATATTAATGAGCAACATGCTGAGAATGAAGTGGAAAAGAAACCATTCATTAATTTATTCATAATATCAATGACAATTCAATTTAAATATCAGGACAGTAACCCCAGTGTCCTACAGTAAAAGACTCCTGTGTTAATTAACCTGACTAACCCTCCACTACTTAGTTATTGTTTGTTTGTATAAACAGGATGCTTGAGTTGTTGGTCGGCTGATACAGAGGTCAAACTGTGACTAATTGTAATTTCAGAGGTATACACACAGTGATTCTCTATCAATACACACTGCAATCAACAGAGGGTTAACAATTTATTATCTATCCCTACATACCATCTCTCTATCATCTATCTATCTATCATAACAGAACATGTACCCTTCACTGCCACAGGTAAACGCATCTTTCCATCCACACACTCCAACTGATAATTAGCAATGATTAGATAAAAATGACATTCTTTTTCTATCCTACTGTTTGTATACTTATCAGTACTAAATTAAAAATGGTTCCATTATTATTCCAAACATTAGATTGTACAATGCACACTATCTTTCTTTTTTTTAATTCTTCGGAAAAGATCCACTCCTCCTTTGAATATACCTAGTTTAGTAAGTCTGAAATGTATATAACTGAACAAAAGAAGAGTATGATGCTAGCTAAGTCGAACTATGTCTGGTCTAAATATTACAGTCCAGCTCAGGCAAATTCTAGTTAGACATGCCAACTATTTCCACCCACTGCCCAACAAGCCCGTACATATGAAACACCAGAGCAACGTATATGATTGTAGTTATCAAGGGAAAATAAAGTGTTTTATTCATTTGAAGTTTGATTATTACAGCTTCTCAAGATTATTATCCCTAAGAGGGACTTCCTTTTGGCAAAAACTGACATTCAATTAACAAGAGGTTTCTTATATTCATAATTCAACACTTTTAATTCAAAGTAAGAGTTTGACAATAGAGTTTCTTTTCCCCATTGAGGAGCTCATGTTTCAAAGTCCTTTTAGCTGGGTATCAAATCTATTCATAAAGAATATTTAGGAGGAACTTATAATGAATCACAGGCATCTCCCGATTTAAAACCAGTTAAACAGGGGTCCACACCTACATGCAGTGTACATTTCATGGTTCATAAACTTTTCAAAGGTTGTGCAGGAATTCAATTGACAGGAAAAATAGGGAACTTTAAAATTTACTACAAAGAATAATAGTAACATTTCATGGTAAACAAAAACAGGTATAATATTCTTAACAGTATAAACACAAAACCAGAGAAAATTTTAATTTCGTAAATGTTCAGCCTTAGAACAACTGTGTTTCTAATTTTGCAAATTATTTTATGAAAGACATTTCCTGCTAGCATACTAGTAAGTATACTGTAGAACAGTATTAGGCTCTACTTTTTAGTGCACTAGGGATATTAATCGATTTAATGGACATAAAAGAACTAGATACAAGCTGAGCTATTCTAGGTTAAAAGTTTATTTCTTCTTGAAATCCCTAAATATTAATCATGGACATGATTCACATTTGCACTCCAGTTGTGACTATGGATTAAATAAAGACCCCCATACATAATACCTACCGGTAATCTACTGTCTAGGGAAATCCTCCATCAATGTATGTTTAATGATAAATCTCTTTGTAAGCATTACATAAAGATATCTCCTATGACATAACATGACAAGACTAAAATTCCACACTGAACATGAAAATTCGATGTTCATGTTTATGATTGAATAAAATAATTTTTAATATTATCGATAAAACCAAATGAAAGTTTACCATTTTGTTTATTTGCTTTGATTCCCTTCAGAATTTTTCAATCATATTAGGATGCCACCAATTGCTTTTAGAAAGCAGCAAAGTTAGATATATATTTGACACTCATGCCTACAAAGAATAGAGGAATCTTTTTGTGGACAAAGCTACTGCTACTTGAGCTGTTTTTTTTAACATGTTGGAATTGGTGTGTATCGCATTAATGCAATAAAATGTCGCATTTTGAAAATAAAATAATATATAAAAAGTAAAATAGAAATGCTTTTTTCTTTTTTTTTCAAAAATGATTATGGCAAAATTTCACAAAAATGTGCACAACTCGACGAAATTTGAGCAGTAAAAAGCTTTACTATCTGCAATAGATGTAAAAAGAAGCATGCTTTCATTTATAAACATTTAATCCTTAGTCACCGTTGGTTTAGATCATCAATTTATAAATCAGAAAAACTAATACATATATGGAAAGTAAAAATTTAAGAGTACATGTATAAAGAATTTTTTTTCATGAAAGATTTTATAATTTAGGTAAAAGAAGTATTGCAGTCAAATTTAGTTTTCTTAATGGATAAAAGCCAAATCTAGTCCTTAATTGTAAATCCTTCAAATGTTGGGACATACATGTACAATGATGTATATGAGTCATCAGAATATTCAATCTGTAGTATACTAAGGTCAAATTGAGTGAAATGTGAAATGTTCACATGTAAATATCTATAATTCCTATGATAATATATAAAATGAGATGAATCCATAGTAGGGGTATGTCTTTTACCAGAATCCATATACTTCATAATGCAGACAGTTACTTTCTTGTGCTTTCCTACTCATTTAGTAATCAATTACAAAGGTGAGTCTCTAATGAATTATGGAATACAAAGGAGTAATTTTAATTGCAGCACCATGAAAGACCATGACTACAAAGGAAAATTAATGAAACAAGTCCCAACAAGTGACATAAAAAGGATATGTTAGTTTCCTAGGTAGTAACTATTACAGTCACTTAATATTGCACCATACCGATTGATTTCTTTTAATTAAAAAAAAATCAGCACTTGACGAATATAATTTGTTTTACTTTTTTTTTAATCTGGATAAATTATGACAATTTGACAAATAATGTGAAAAGTCATATAAAGACATATTTAAAAAGCTTTTTATCATGCATTGTGCAAGTTATACTTCATATCTCTGTTTCTCTGACAATTAAGACAGTATCACTGAATTGATCAGATGATTCACAAAGACAGGATTTTAACAGTCTACATGTAAGCTTTCTTATAAGCAAATACAGCCCTCACATAGACTATGCCTGTCCATTTTGCTAAAGAGAATATACTGTTTAGCAGAATTATGGATGTTTTGGGACCACAATGTTTCGGGACCCCAACGTTTTGGGACTTGGATTAACACATTTTGGGACCTTCACATAGATATGCCTGTCCATTTTGCTGAAGAGAATACTGTTTAGCATGTTATATGTACATGAATCCAGGCAACATATTTCATTTCCAATCAATTTAACAATGTAGGACATCTAACAGAAGATACACATTTTGACATGCATTTGAACAAAATTTTTCACAATATATTAATCACAATGAGTGACAGGATACCTACATAGTCTCTGTAGTATGGAAAGGAGGAATGAGTAAACATACGATGAAAATTCATAAACACATATATAATGGAAAAACATGTTGCTGGACTGGGAATCAAACCCAGGACCCCTGCATTACTAGCAAAGTGCTCTAATGTTAACCACTGAGCTATAGATCCAGGCTGAGTAATATCCTGAGTCCAGCCTTAATTTCTACACATCTTGATAGGCCTATAATATGTTACCTTGTGCTTTGCTCCGAGAAGTTTCCTCCCTCCAAGAGTCGAATTTTAGCAAAGAGCAATCCACTTATGAATGGAACTGAAGACAACTCTTCAAGTCTGAAGTTAACATTAAACTTGAACCTCTTTTTCTTCATAATGAATAGAGACATCATATTTGATATGAGAGTCATGTCATACTGATTTTGTGGGAAATCCCAACTTCAGAACAATTTCTGAAAAGTTACATTATTAAATTCCATAAATAAAAACTTTACTCAAAAGTGAGAGATTTCAATTGATAGGTAAACTGATCGATATATCCATCATTGGAATTTTCACCAAAAAGATGATTGGCTTTGAATGTAAATATACAGGGTATACAATTTACGGATACTTCAGAGAGATAAGTGTAAAAGCATATCCAAAACACAAGGATAACATCCTATACACAGTATATGTTAGAAAACTAATTCCGTTTTAGGTCACCATCACATACAGCTTGCTTGATCAACTGTTACTCCTGAGCCGTTCAAGCACTTGCCAGCAACTCCTCATGCACCTGCGCATTTCTCCTCCATTTTCAACTTCCGGTTTCCGGTGTAAACAACAAAGTTGGTAGGATGTTGGATGTTGCAGTTGGTACAACTTAAACTCGAAGTTTAAAGTTGTCGAACGTTAGTCATCAGGTTTGATACAATTTAATTTGAAAAATTATTCATTGAAGATTCCAAACTACATAATGTGCTTTCATTAGTGTTCAGAATCTGTTCTTTTCAGAACAGGTTATGATATTGATGAAACTTGAAAATGCCTATAAGAACCGGTTACATGTAAAGTTAACTTAATAAATGTTAATGGGGATGTGTACGTCGAATTCTCTTCACGTCAATTTGTACCCGAGTATCTGGATGGTATGCCCTATGTATTAAAAAATGCAATGAACCAGACCCAGATTCAAACCCAGGCCCCCTAAATCTCTTGTCAGGTGTTCCAAATGAGCTATAGCTCTGGGATCACACCACTACATTCCTCCCTCCATAAAGGACACCACCTCGATCCCCCCTCCCATTCCACCAACCCAGACTTATCCCTGGCAAGCCTTTCACCTATTACTTCCAGGACATGGTAAGGGACCAAATGTATTAGAAGAGGTGAAAAATGCAGCAGACCAGACTAGGATTCAAACCTGGACCTCTGAATCTCTAGACAGATGCTCTAACAACTGATCCATCTGGCTACCAGTGATCGAACCCAGCTGACTGCCACAAGTGACACATAAAATGTCACTAGAAAAATGTGCTAAAATACAGTTTTACCATAAGTAATTTCAATATACAGGTTTTCGTCCTTTTTCACTCTAAAATCCTCTTCTGTATTAAAAATTAAGTTTAAAAATTATTTTTTAAACAAGTTTTTAACTGCATTCTCGTAAAAACATTAAATACTTTTAATTTGTAGTGAACAATTGAACAAAAAATAGTGGTCAACAATGCAAAAAATAGAGGTGCAACTGAATTTCTTAAGAACTAATCTGCCGGATGGTATGTAAGTGCTAAGCCATACATGTATCTCCCCCAGTGGATGCTAATCAGTCAATAGTGTATGAGGACTAGCCCTGATCTCTCTGACAGATGTGAGACTAAACCCTAGTCAGTTGGATACTTGTGCAAGGACTAAACATAATCTTTTAGGTGGATGCAAAACTAATCCAGAATAGGCAAGTAGTGTGCAAGATTAACCCTTATAATCAGATGTGATGTTTATCTTTTCTTTCTTCATAGTGCTATAAGTATGTTATTGTGGATCTGGGGACTGGTAAAGTAAAGTCTACCCCTTTTAAAAGTTCTTTTTAACCCTTCACATAAGTCAACATATATAAACTTGCAGTGGTTTGGACTGCCAACTCTATTTAACATATCCACATTATTTGAGATAAAGGTATTCATGGTACCAAAGCTCAACTGTACTCTGAAACTTTCAGTCTGGTTGCTGAGGAGTAAACAAGGATGAAGTTCTATGTGCATACAGAAGATCCACCCTTCACCATGGTTGTCAGATGGAATGAAAATGATGACAAATGTTTGCAGAATCTTGTAGATGTAAGACTATAATATTGTTTTTAGATAATTGAAAGGTTTATCAATAACATGTGTGCAGGTCTTACACATTAGCTAAATGGAGTATGTGTTAAAATCTTATGTTGAAGGAATTGTTTGAAACATTTTTCCTACATAGGTCCAATTTAGATGAAATTGGCTTTTTGTAACTTAGCTTATGACTTTGTTTCATATATTATTTGTTTTAATGTATCCAAGTTTATTGTTCATAAATTTGGAATTTTTATACAAGCATTCAAAAAATATCTTTGGTAGAAACATATCAAAGAAATGACACTATCAGAGTAGACAATCCTTGGGTGTTGGTCACAAATGGTATGTAACAGCTGCATGTTCTTAACTTGAATACATTTCAGATTTTCTGGAGCAATTTCAAATCAAAATACCCAGATGTGGAGGGAAGAATTGATAAATCAACAGTTAAAATATGGAAAGGGTAGGTTGAAAAAGACAAATCACTTTCCTAAGTCTATTTGCTTCAGGTGCATTACTATCTTAATGATGGATCTGAGCTTTCTGATAGATTCATTGTCATTTACTTGTTAGTTTGTATAGAAACTTTTAAAATTAATAACTCGGAAAATCCCAGAGGGACTCTTGACCCTTTCCCCTAGAGATGTGCATGTTAACTTGAACGTGGTGAGGCAAAGAAAAAAACTTTGATTTATCCAAGGATTTGTGATAAAATGTTTAAAAACATTTTTTTTGAGATATCAAACTCTAGCTGTACTTGTCTTTTTTTTTAATTTACTAATTTGTCTTATGTTTTAGGACAAAGGCATTAGACTTGTCTAGCAAAGTTTTACAAAAAGTGAAAAATATGGATGACATATATATAAAGTGGATGACAATGCCACATGGTAAGATTTGTATCCAATATTCCTTTTAAAAGCATTTAGAAATGTATAACATTTGCACATGTAAGTGCAAGGTAAATGAAATGGTCAGTGTTTAAAAAAAATCACAAATATTTATTCTTTTGATACTATTTATTTGTATTTATGAGATATGTTTATTAAGTGTAGTACTTTTTTATTCTCAAGAGAACAAGAAGGAACGAAATGCAGAGAAAGTTCCATCTGAAACTGTTGAACCATCCTCTTCGAAGAATTCAGTAAATGCAGATAATGTATCTGAAAAGAACCACTCTTTAAAGAAAATGGATTCTTCATACTCAGTGTCAGAATTACTAGAATTAGCTGATGCCTTGTCTTCTAAATGCCGAATCCAGCATGCCATTGTTTTATACAGTGATATCCTCAAAAAAGAACCCAACAACCAATCTGCTATCATTGGCATTGGTAAGGCTAAGTTGTGTATTACTGTAGAGAAAAATAACTAGCAACTGTCTGTTGAAGTACAATAAAAACCTTTATAACCTTTATTAAAACCATTATAGCAACCATTGCATACAGTATAGCACATTTATAGCAGTACAGTGAAATGGCTTTCTTGCAACTTTGTATTGCAGTACAGTAAAACACCTTTCTAGCATCTATTGCAGTACAGTAAAACTTTCTATAATAAACCTTGACATCATAAGCTACAGGTTCTGTGTCCACTCTATTTTCAAAAATATTTGACCACCTACTACAAAATTCTCTCATTCTCATTAATATTAATGGCAAACATTCAAACAGAAAAAACTAACTGGCACTTCAAGCCAGAAACTTTTTGTCAAATGAAAATGACTTGTATATATTTCACACATGGATGTTACAATAACCACTAATTAACTCTGGTGCATCAACTAATACTTTACTCGCCTCTTTTTTTTTTTAAATCTATCATATCTTATAAAAAAAATCTTCTTTGCATAGCAAAATTTTGTAGTAGGCAATCAGAGATTTATGAAAATAGAATGGCTACCATAGTGAACAATCCATAATGTAATGAATCATTTGCCACTGATACTTCGTCCCCTTAACAAAATATTTTTTTAGCTGATTGCTATCTACAAGCTGGGAGACCCAATAAAGCACTATCATGTTTGAAACAAGCACAAAAAGTAAAGGACACAGCTTTCAAGTAAGTACACATTTTAATTTTTTTGATTAGGAATATATCCCATATGGCTATTACCTGTATAGCAATAGATTTAATTTGTGGTAAATTATGACAAAATAATATTTTAGACTTGGACAATGCTACTTTAAGCTGGGCGAGTTTGATAAGGCTGTAGAAACATTGATGGGGTATTGTAAGGAACTGCGGAACAGAGGGGGGACTTCAGCAGCTCATAAACAGGATGTCCAGGTAAAACAAGGCAGTATAATTATCATATATCAACAATTTTGTTGAAATCATATAGATTTAATAAATATGTACCTAAACTAATGAAAGAGAACGAATGAGAATGACAATATAAATATATATATTTATTTGCATTGAGATATGCTTATGTACAGATCGATAAGAAAAGTCAAGCATCACTGAATGTTTTTCCTAATCCTTAATTCCTTTTATTTATGTATTTCAGGTTTGGCTTGCTAGAGCGTATGTTGGGAAAGGCCAAAAAGATATGGCTTTGGTAGTTTTACAGGTAATTTACAAGATGTACATTTCAGATGTAGTTGGTTGATATATGTAAAGCATCTCTAAAGCATCTAAAGCATGCATATTTGTTACAATTTGTCTTGCTACACAGTTAATATTCGCTTTAATAAAGTCAAGTTCCTATACCTCTAATGGCAGTGTTCCAGTTTCACATTTAGGAGCAGGTCCATTCTAAAGTAATCGTATTATAAAGCTTATCTGGATCAAAATTCCAAAGATGATGCAGCTAACAATGTTAACAACCAATCTTGCTTTGTATTTTTCATAACACCTGCATTTGAAGATTAGTTGGAGTTTTCAGAGCACATCTATTTCTTTCTAAGAAACACATCTTCACAACTTTAGGGGTCTCGAGTCAAAGCATTATCTTTGAATCTTAATCTTTGGAGTTGATTCTCTCATTCACAACATTGAGAAGCACAAATCAAATTGAAGTACTGCAATCAGACCATAAATATGGATTGAAGTTAATTAAAGGTCCAAGCTACAACATGTTGACTCTGGACCACAGACTGTGTAAATGCATTCATGGACCAAAGCATAGACGACACATATAGGGATGCACAATTCCAGAATTGTTTTAGAAGCTGCCTGTACTTGTATTTGGTGCAGACTATTGTAGGAAATATATGAGATGATAACCATTTGACATTTAATTCCTCTGCAGTGAATTCTTCATGTATGGGTTTTGCAGGGCGTATTGAGGGAAAACCAGGAACATTTAGATGCCTTGACAGAGTATGCTCCCCTGATTTTTCCTCTGGGTCCTAAACAAAAGGAGGAGGCCATGACCATCATGCTGACTGTGCTGGTCAACAAACGAGGTGAGTAGTGCACAGAAAGGGAGGTAAATCTTATCATCATGCTGACTGTGCTGGTCAACAAACGAGGTGAGTAGTGCACAGAAAGGGAGATAAATCTTATCATCATGCTGACTGTACTGGTCAACAAATGAGGTGAGTAGTGGACAGAAAGGGAGGTAAATCTCATCATGCTGACAGTGCGTGTCAATAAACGAGGTGAGTAGTGGAAAGAAAGGGAGATAAATCTTATCATCATGCTGACTGTACTGGTCAACAAACGAGGTGAGTAGTGCACAGAAAGGGAGATAAATCTTATCATCATGCTGACTGTGCTGGTCAACAAACGAGGTGAGTAGTGCACAGAAAGGGAGGTAAATCTCATCATGCTGACTATACTGGTCAACAAACGAGGTGAGTAGTGGACAGAAAGGGAGGTAAATCTCATCATGCTGACTATACTGGTCAACAAACGAGGTGAGTAGTGGACAGAAAGGGAGATAAATCTCATCATGCTGACTGTACTGGTCAACAAACGAGGTGAGTAGGGACAGAAAGGGAGATAAATCTCATCATGTTGACCATGCTGGTCAAGAAACGAGGTATGTAGTGGACAGAAAGTGAGATAATTCTCATCATGAAACAAGAAACATGATAGGTAGTGGACAACAAGGGAGGTAAATCTCATTTAAAATAATTAAATTTGATAATTGCATTGGGAGATACAAATGAGTTGTTTTTCTTTGTTGTAGATGATAATTATGTGAAAGAAAAATTTGCCTTTTTGTGTCAACAAGAACATGGAATGCAGGTGTTAGAGAGGTTTGTGAAAAATTATCATCATTTCTTCATTTCTTCTACTTTTGCACTTTTTCATGTTGATAGCATTATAGAAATAAAATTCAACTATTCTTGTAGACATTCATTCTGATTGATAACTTGCCATGAAAACCAAATGCTAATCAAATTAATCAAATTGAACAAATAATTATACACATACCTCTTGCTGAGATTTTCAGTTTACACTATGCCTTCCTCTGTATTCTTGCTACCTTTCATAACATGCTTTGAGCCTTTGACTATAACTATAAACCTATTAATTACTTGTCACTGAAGCATGTCAGGCCAGGCTTGGAGTGATGTCCCTGCTGTTGTTTTTATGGCAACTAGTCTTCGTGATGTTGGAGGTGAGAAACTTCCTCAGATTCTGTAACCTGACTTTTCCACTCTCTATCCAAAAGTCCTCTGACTCATGTTTGATTTCTTGTTCTGTACAGCTATTAAGGAGGCTGAAGCATTACTGAAGCATGCTAACATGCTGCAGCCAGAAAATCCCCACACTTTGTTAACTTATGTTCATACTCTAGAGGTGAGAATGCTTCCTTAAGGTTCAGTAAAATATCTTAACCTAAGGCTGATTGTATAAATTACATAACAGGCTTTAAGTGATTATGTCACGGGCACTGGAAGTTAATGTAAATATATAGTATGTGTATGTATAAAAAAGTTTTTTATACATACACATACTATACATTTATATTAACTTCCAGTGCCCGTGGATTATGTGATGTATTCAGTCTGTCAGATACATGTAATCAAAATTGGAACGCAACTTCTAACAAACTTCTCTAGTTATTCAATCTGTAACAATCCATAATTTTGATCAATTTTAAAATCCAACTATTACTGGGTGAATTGTGAAAATGTTGGCACAAGGTGCAGCTGCTTTTTAATTTTTGATTCTTTAAAATTTAGCTGGTTGAAAAACATACAGAAGCTGTCCAAGAAATTATTACCTACATAACTCGATGGCCAGATAAGGAAATAGGGAACTTTAAGATTGGAGCTTTACTGCCAATCATGAATCACTTCCATGGTGATGTATACCTTAATGGTAATTACATTTAGACAAAATGCTTTGTGAATCAAAGGTACAATTATGCAGTACTGTTTTCAAAGTTATTACCAAATAAAATAATTCTGTGATTAAAATTATGTGTTTATTCCATTTAGATAAATTTAAGTATTTTTTCATGAAATGAATAGAATTATTTAATATGAATAGTTTCTATTACTTAGTTCCAGAAGCAGATTTGCCCAACAATTCAGTTTCCACAGTAACTACAGCTGAACCGTATCCTGAGGATGTTAACTATCTACTGGCTGTTATCTTTACTTTAGTCAAGATTCTGTTCATCAAAGGAGCATTAGCCTTCATAAAACCAATCACAAGTTTGATAGGTAGTGTTGAAAATGAGTCTTTATTGCAAATAAGAATGTGCTCTCTCTATGTACATGTATATTTATTGTTAATGTGTTCAGTTTAATGGACATTTGGAAATGTCATTATTATAAAATATTCGTAATATATTTACTTTTAAGATCTTTTTTCGAAGAAAATTTATAAAATAAAGATGGTGTCCTTTTAAAAATTCACTTTCCAAATTCAGATCCACTGACAAAGGGGCATGAACTCCACAAAACAAACATAAGAAATGAGGCTGCCTACTTCTCATGCATTAACCAGGTAAGGTTATAAATCAACAAAAATTCCTGCAATGTTTATTGCACAGATATTGGGAGAATATTTTACTGTGACACATTTTCCCTCAGTTGCAGGAAGTGAGAGTCGATGTCAACCACGTAGTTTCCTGTGATCAGTATGTATACTTTGTAGGAGACAGCCATTGTGTTCCACCAGCATGGCAGCCCATCCAGTTCAAGGCAGGTTTATCAATGTATAAGATGAGAATTAATTTACATGTATGCATTATCTAACACAATGGATTAACTCCAATGACCTTTGTAAATAAAGTTATTGTGTTTTATTTTAATGTATCTTAAAATATCAGGGAGAGGAGAAGATAATCCACCCGATCTTGTCTACAGGGACAAAAATCTGGCATCTACGGGAGGAGAGCATATTTTATCCTAAACACAACTTTAATTCAGCAATAAGCAAGATTCCTGATGGTGCAACAACAGTGTTTTGTTTTGGAGAGATTGATTGCAGAGAAGCTCTTCTGCTGTGTATGGAAAAAGCCAAATATGATGTAAAGATACAGTATTAAAATAAAAAAAATAATCAGATCGACTACTAATTTAGAGATTTACTGGATAGTTTGATAAAAGAAGTTAAATATTGTTCCTCCTATATTTTAGAGCTTAGAGGAAGGAATGGACCGGGTGATAGAAATCTATGTTGATCTGTTGACAAGGTTACAGAGTCTCCATCACTGGGACGTTTATGTACACCCTGTGTTACCTGTACTAGATTTAACCAGGTAAATTTGGTAATAAAAGTTGTGACCAGGTTCTGCCAAGTGACTAAGCTTTTATTTATTAAAAATATTTGTACTTTCGAAATTTATTTGCACAACACTAAATTTCATTAACTTTATCATTAGGGCTTTGGTTATGCAGTTTAACCAGAGAATGATGAAAAAATTGTCCAATACCAGTCTTAAATGGCTAGGTTTTGTGGACAGTCTGCTGACTAAGGAAAGTGGAGAACTTAAACTAAAGAAACAATATGGTAAGTATGGAAGAGAAAACTGATAGCAGAACAGAAACTCATCAAGAAGAGAAAAATGCAAATTAATTTCCCTTTGCCATTTCTGACATTCAACATATCTTGATGAGTTACAGATCAAGTTTGAATTTTGTTTTGCTGCAATGATTTTTGAGGGAAATACAGCCTTTTTAATTTTTAATGGGGACCAGATTACATTAGGGGACTAGTATTGTTAATGTAATACTCTCAGAATGCTTGTTTATAATGCTCTCAAATATAAGTATTATAGGAATGAAATACATGTATAGAGATTAAAAACAGTATTCAAGTTCAAAAGTCAATTAAATCAATACAAATTGAAAGCAAAGCAAACTAAATCTTCAGAGGTGGGATCAGGTGCCATGGAGGAGTAAGCATTCCTGTTGACTGGTCACCCCTACTGTTTGCTCCTTGTCATGATTGTTCAAATCTAAAAATCCATTGACAATTCAGTGTATAAATAATGGTCTAACAATTGGTATGAAAATTGTCAGTCAGCATTCTACTCTTGTAGTTTTGTAGGATAAATATTTAGGAAAAACAATTACAAAATTGGTGTTAAAGATAGGTAACTAAAGCCAGAAAGTCAGTAAGCATGAAAATAGAGTTGATACTCTAAATTTAAATCTTTTAAGGTATCTTAATCATGAAAAGGTAAGAAATTAAACAAATATATGTAACTTTATTAAAAATGTTTATAAAAAGTACTGTAAATATTAATGTGTATCTTTATTATTTTGTAGAGTTTGATGGGACACATGTTCATCCCTGTTACCTTGAAGTTTTACAGAAATCTCTACAGAATCAGGCTTGACTTGTTACCTAGAAGTATTAGAGAATTCTCTAGCAGAGGGTCTGACTTTGAGTTTTTAGAGAAGTGGGTGTGACTTTGTTACCTAGAAGTATTAGAGAATTCTCTAGCAGAGGGTCTGACTGTGAGTTTTTAGAGAAGTGGGTGTGACTTGTTACCTAGAAATATTAGAGAATTCTCTAGCAGAGGGTCTGACTTTGAGTTTTTAGAGAAGTGGGTGTGACTTGTTACCTAGAAGTATTAGAGAATCCTCTAGCATGAAATGGGGATTTGGAGTTTTAGCGAAGTGATCTGACGTGCATAGAGAGACCTATACTGAAGAAAGGAATGGAGTGACATTATATCTTGCCAAATATTTGAAATCATTGCTTTTTTATTCATTAGTTTAATGTGCAAGGGATTTTTTTATTTATAAACCTTTAAAAATAGGTTGTGCCATATTCATATCCCTCTGAAGGATGTAAGTAGCAGTATTTTATCTAGCAATTATAATTAAGGTCTTCCTAATATACTAGTTATAGTATACACGAAAATTATATAAAATAAATGTGATGATCTCTGTGCTATCATATACATGATTTTTTTTAAATGTACATGTATGTTTTTTTTATTTTATCTTGAGCTAGAAACTACTTTTTATTACATCATATCAATCATATACATGTACCTTTATTGTGATGTACACTTGTATTTTACATTTTTTAATAGGTCATATCATGTTATGTCTATCGTGAGAAAATATATGTTGTTTGATGTCAATCTTAGACTTTGATTACTAGAACTATGCATTGGCTTATAGTTCACCTGTGAGTATACATTGTAGGTCAGATACAGCATGTTTGAATTCATCATTTATAAGACAAAACATTGGAAGTGTAACGGGAGAGGTGAAAAATGTGATGGACCAGACCGGGATCATCTTCGCTAGCCAAGGGTTTCTGATATGCTACTCTCCTCATGAAGATAGTAGCGTATCAGAAACCCTTGGCTAGCGAAGATGGACCGGGATTGAATGCTGGTCCCCGAAATATCCAGTCAGGTGCTCTACCAACTGAGCTATCAGGACACTGGCAATCAAATCTGTCTGACCACCACATTTCTCCCTCCTTAAAAGCCTTTGTCCCCAATGACACACACATGGATCTTCCCTAGAAGGTCTTTCACCTGTCAAATCCTGGTCATAGAAACCAGTGTAATGGGAAAGGAGAAAAATTCAGTGGTTTAAACCTGGATTCAAATACCAGTGGCCAGATAGCTTAGTTGGTAGAGAACCTGACTGGAGATTCAGGGGACATGGGTTTGATCCGATGCATTTTTCACCTCTCCTGTTGCAGAAGATTTATGATGTGCAGATCGAGGATTTATGCCAAGTTTGTCCTCGATCAAGATTACTATCAACAACAGAAAAATAAGTTTTTGTGCATAGTTTTGTATGACATCTATTACAAAACAGTCACATATTCTGTGTCATCAAAATAAAATTTTTTTTTTTTTTTAATTTCGTGGAAGTTTAGTGGAAGTACACACGAATGAAACAGTTATGGACCAAATTAACAAAACAGCTCTTTTGTGTGCTAAAGATAGATTTAGTATTAAACGTTAAAATGTTGCTTTCAGCATAATGTTAGTTTTTATCACTGCATTGAAACGTAGAAAGACGTTTATGTAAATTTCAGATATGTTTTATTGTACTGAATTTGTCATTCTCCAGAGTGCTCTTCAACTGGTTGAAAAACAGGTAAGCTCCGTTTCAATGAACTCGAATTTCCTCAGTTTCCAATCGATAGCAATAAATGGGTTATCAAGATATCTGAATGTGTCATGCTTTTTTTAAAGGAAAAATTGTCCATTGGCAAGGCTAAAGTCAATCAACCAGTGTGTATAGTAAAACTAGCCGTAGAGGAGATTGTGAGGGGACTGGAAGAGGACAATGAGCCAGAGGATAAGGTTAGCTAGGAAAGTAAAATACATGTAGTTAACTAATCCTAGGTTTATTTAATACTTTCATATAATTTGCATACGTTGTTCACTTATTTCTTTTTGCTGTAGCTTTGGTGGAGTAAGAGGGTTCATTCCGTGATTTTGTACAAGGTTCAGGCTTCACATTATAAGAAATTGCCAGATGAGGCCACTGCTTGCTCAGTGCAGGAGGTTACAGACATCTTCCAAGATGGATGGATGGAACCAAAAAAGGTTGACAGTCAAGATGTCTTGTCAGACATTTTGCCCTCTATCAGCAGGTCGCTGTACTTCAGTCTTGTGAAGGAGTGCTGCTGGCATGGATTCCTGACAGAGGTACATGTATATTATAAATCTATAAATGGGGAGCCCCATGCTATAATGAAGTGTTAAATCAAAGTATCCTCAATTTACTGTACATGTTATACTGAAAATTGCTTTAAAACTCGCAGATTGTTACATTTGTTTCTAATGCTGCTTGTGATGGAGATACAATCATTTTCTGACAAAGTTGGAAAGACAAAAGATACTAAAAAAAAAGTAGATACAACCTCTTATATCACATAATGATTTTCAATTTACCACAGCAGAGTATTTTTTCCATGCCTGTTTATGTTTGTTTAATTATTTCAGATTCTCTGGCATTTGAAAAAAGATTTTTCTAGTCAGTTAATCCAAGATGGAATAGGATATCTAAACCAACTAGACAGCCATGATATCTGTGACATCAAGTTAGGAGCTTGTCTTATTGAACACATGATGTCATATCTGATATCTGACAGTGTTAAAGACAATATTCAGGGAGCACTATCTCTGTTTCCAGATGTTTTGACTCAGTTTTGTAGAATAATGGACAGTGTGAAGGAAGCCTCCTTAGGAAATGAAGATATTACTCTACTAACAACATGTTTCTATCAGATCTCACTGTTACTGTGTTTGCACAACAAAGATGAAAGTATCAAAAATTTGCAAAAATGGTTTGATGGAAATGCCATTGCTACCAAAAGTAGCAATTCAGAGAAAAGTTTAATCTTAAAAGACTACTTTGGTAAATTTATGATGGATAACATGCGTGGGTGCTATTTTGACTTGAACAATGAAGTTGTCAATTATCTTAGAGAAAATCTTTCATCACAATGCCTCTTTACTTCTCTAATTAAATTGATGTCTTTGGGGGGTCCTACGTTATGCTGTTCCCTACTTGATTCTTTGTCATCAGATTCTGAATTTAGATTTGTATGTATTTGTGAGAGTGAGATTCTAATGTATTCAGAAAATCAAAACAAAAAATCAGACATGAACAAAGTGAAAGTCAATTTTGATAGTAGAAACCTCACAAGGAAAATGATTCAGTTGCTACCAGGAGCATGTGATCCTGATGTAAAAGATACCAGTGAGACAATTTATAGTTATTTATCCTCAATGTTAGGCAGTGTGAATGTTGAAGATGAGATTTTTCCTGATATGTCAATCACAGCAGCAATTTGGCGAGTTCAGGAGAGACAACCAAGATTTCAAGGCAAGCATCTGTTAAGCATAAAAGTATTGAAAATGATTATTAACAATGAAAATACATGTACATATATCTAATATTGTTTGAATTTTGTAGATTTTCTATGGAGGTTTGTGACAAGTCCAATCGCTTCACTTTGGTCATGTGACAAGTAAGTAAATTTGATGAGAATGTTTTTTTCTTTTTCGTCTATTTACACATTTTATTTAACTCTATTCTCAATTCTACAGTAAGCTTAATGAAATGTCTCTAATTCACTTGTTAAAAAATAACAGTTTTATGCTTACATAAAATCTTTTCCACGCAGGTTGCTCTCAGTTTTACAATCAAATCTGGACTTGTTAGCAGAGAAGGAACTACTGCTGCATTTGTATAAACTTGTTTGGAAATTAACTGGCAAAGTTGCAGATACCCAGTTAGAAAAAATGACAAAGGTATAAATAAATTTTTCCAATTTTAAATAATGAAAAATGAATACAAAGAATTTAAGTGAATGACTAGTCTTAACACTGGTACAGTTTCTTTTACTGTCTAAGTTTAATATTAAATCTTTATTATTTTGAATCCTTAGTTTTTTCATAACCAAAGATTTCCTTATGAAGTGTGGGAGGAGGAGGGGTTTCTTAGTAAGAAATGCCATTTTTCTCTTCCTATATTACATTTCTTAAAACATTTCTATTTACACTAACCACACCTGTTCAGAATCTCGCTTATTACAGTTGGTGATGGACAGTTTTAGTCAGCTTGACCTTCCATCACGTGGTCAGCATGTTGTACATGTGTACATCACCTACAGAGAGTGGCCCAAACCCCAGTCTGTTACCCCCACATCCTTAAATCAAATCCTCAACAAATTCACCACAGGAATGGAAGAAAAGGTAATTCTCTAAATCAGTGCTAACATTTGCTGTAGAATTATAGTGTTCCAAAGAAATAAAGACCTGTCTATCAATATTATATTTTTTTGAGAGCTACAGTTCTGCTGCTGTGCTATCCTTAATATAGATGTAAGTAAAAGCTTTTACAGTGAAAACCAGTTAAGTCATTCAACATGCATTTATGTCATTGATTATAGACAAGTCAATAACTATACTGTAGATCACTAAATTTTCACGACACCTTATTTTCATGAGATAGTTATTGGCTCTCTATTAGCTAGACAGAATATTCACAAACTATGGTTATTGTTCTATAAAATCTTTAGGGATTCTGATATATGTGAGAAATTTTTGCAAGCATATTGTCTAGCATACATGTAATTACTCTAAAATAAAGCCTTGTGAATAAACTGATTTATACTATGTGTACTACAATTGTGAAGTACACATTTTCACTTGAAAATGGTCATGATAAGTGATGATTTTTTTCTGGTTTGTTTAGGTTCTGGTAGAGATTCATCAAGCTGTTTTACAAAATGCTGATCTGACCGTAAGCCAACTTTTGGAGAGAGCTGTAGGTGGAACACACCAGGCAGACATTGTATGCTCAGTATGTACAACATATTCTATATCCAAACATCACTGTCATTACAGTGCAAAGTACAGACATAACTACGTACTCAGTAAGGGTGTTTAGAATATCTTGTCACACTAAAACCTTGTATGCAAACACACCACCATACTGATAGCATATTCATGTATTTTTTTAAAACATGAATTAAGAGTATTTTCATCAGGTGATGGGTTCAATATTGTGTAAATTATTAAAAACTTTACAATATACAGACAGGCTAGAAAAATGACTGTAGAAATTCAGAATTCTGTATTTTATACACAGATACTGCAGACACTACAAGAACTGTGTTTATATCATGATGATTCAGCCAGAAGTATGCTCTGTAGCAGACTGGCCGATTTTCTGACTTCTCACTCTCTTACTCAGAAGGAACAGGACACAATGATTAAATTTCTGCAGGATCTCATCAAGGTAGTTAAAAAAAATAATTTTGATATAAAAAATGTATTGATGTGTAAATCTTGAAATTTTACTCTAAATTTGAGTAAATTTGTATTGTTACTGACATTACTATCGGTACATTGTAGGATGGTAAGGAAGCTGTGCTAGATCCAGAGGAATTCTACCTCTCCGTTGTAGTTCCTCATTTGTCTTCATGTAAACATCAAAACTCAGAGCTGACCGTGCAACTTGCTCTAGATCTGGGAGGAGTAGCATTGATGGAGATCCTGGAACAAGGGAAGTCAGACATTGACCTCACACTGAGCCTCGGGTCAGCTGCTGAGATACTGGAGAACTGCAGGGTTCTGTGGTATAAGAACAGGGACAGTGTTATCATTAAACCAAGAGTAGTGGCCTATCTTAACCTTCTAAGGCAGTTTAAAGAAAGGAACACATTTTGTGGTATGTTCATTTTCTTTTTAAGTAGAAACAAACATTATGTGTTATGTATACACACAAAAAGCAAAAAAAAAAAAAAAAAAAAAAAAAAACATCAGAACAATGGAATTATAGTTCAACAATAATTTACTGGCTTTTTAGGTAAAAATTTTTGATATAGAGAATACTAGAATTTGATGTATGTTAAAGCTTCTATGTGTATTGGAAAATTTTGTTCAAGCCAGTTGGACTTGAATGGGGACAAAAGAGGATGTCATTTTTTTTTTCTTTTTGCATACAGTATATGTCTATTCCTGCAAGTCTTTACAATTTTTTAAAAAAGAAATTTCAATGCTAGTGACATTTACATGTAAAAACCCCATTAATATTGTTACAAATGTAGTCTTTCTTTATACTGGAAATTATTAAATAACTTGGGAATTTATTTCATAATAGAGGATATTGGTTCCTCTCAGACAAAATGAATTGTAAATATTTAAGGAATGACTCTAATTCTTGGCCAAATTATCGAGTATAATATGGTTTGGGTCAGTTTACGCTTTATAATCCGCGAAGCGGATTATAAAAAAGCGTAAACTGACCCAAACCATATTATACTCGATAATTTAGCCAAGAATTAGAGTCATTCCTTATAATTTAATTTTAAAATAATTAAACAACTGGGGATGTAAAATTGTGTTGTTTTTATGAGTTCAAATTTACCGCGCAATAATACAACCGTAGTAACGGAAGTGATGGGAAGCGAGGGGAGGTAAAAACTGATACATAGATCTAGCAGCCATGATGCTTGTTTACATGAGGTAAGATCGAGCAACTGTTTGAAATTAAAGGTACATTCATTAAATCTGGAATTTTCCATGAATCCCAAGGACTGGAAATGAGGGGATTGATGGATACAGATGATTATGCTGGTTGTCAAGGGGGTGTGTCCCCATACCAAACCAGATTATACAAAATGTTATGCTTTCCTTTTTGGAAATCAACCAATGAGAGGCAAGAATTCAAGCAAAATTAAATTATTAGATGATGATTTACAATTTTCATAGACAAGTGAGCAAAAGGATGGACTAACAATAGAAATTATATTTGATGGTAACTTTTTATAGTTGACTGGATTGTAAAAGCCACAATGGATTATGACTGCACTGTAAGATTGGCTGCTTTACATGTATGTCTGACAGATGAAGAGTTTTACAGTGTCTGTGATTCTGTGTGCAAACATCTTCTCCACCCAGACCAAGGTGAGTAAAAATTGTCAATGACCATTTTAGTACAAATATTTACCCTGTCTGGAGTTATTTTTCACATAGTTCAGTATCTGTATTACAGAAATAGATTATGAGAATTTCCTGCGGCTCGTTGCTGGAAGTGAGGAACTCTCTCAGATGATTGGGGGTTACCTTCATGACAGATGGACTCTCAATTACCAAACATTGCTGTTAACTCTTTCACAGGTAGGGTTTATCAAAATATGAATTTTTGAATCAGTTCATTGGTACATTGCTGGCTTTATATGTAGGGGGATGAATATTAAATTCTTCATTCTTTATTTTCAAAACTTTACTGTAAATTCAAATCTGACTAGAGTAAAGATATATAGTCTTTGGTAATAAGGTTTGAATAGATAAATTAGAAAAAAAATTAATAGATACACAAAGAAAATTGTTATACCGTAGATTTCTAGACATGTACTCTTGACTGTCATCATTATGGAATTTAATATCTCTCTATTTTAGGTGACACCACATTTGATACCAGAGGAATGGATTCGGTTATTCAAGTTCCTGAGAGGAATTGTCAAATCCGGTCATCTTTGCGTATCTGTTAAGATGTCAGGAATTTTGCCACTGGTTAATCTCACAGGTATCATGTAACTATTTAAAAATAAGACTGATCATAATGCTTTTAGTAATGTATGTATCTGTTACGTCTAGATAAACTGAACAGAAAAAAGATATCATCATAAGGAAAGATGCACTCCAGAAATAGATAACATTAATTTTTCTGTTTCAGAGATTTCAGAGTTGCTTCCCCTGTCTCAGTTACTTAGTGATGTTCTGAGGATTCTATCTCAAACACAAAGCCAGCTCCCTCCTCCTGCTGTGGAACATTGTATCAGGTCTACAATGGCTGTCTACAAGGTACTCCCTGTTTCATTTTTTTAAAAAAGTGTAATATTGTAGGTGAAATTGTTATTGCAATACTGTATTACATATATACTTCCTATCCCCAAAGAAAAATGCATTCTATCCAAGGAAGTATCCTCCTACCAATCCATTTAAGATTAGTTGACCAGGGCGATACCTAGTGAACTTAATAAGACTGACAATTAGGGTGCAAATATTTTCCCTTATGACCTTTTGCGTGGAATACTAAACCTTTTGTATTCTTAACAAATGAATTCCTGTGTTGAGCTTTACATGCTCAGAAATTGATTTCTCCGTGATCTCTCATAACAACATAACAGAAAATGGTTAATATTCAAGGTTATTCTATTTGGTCAGCTTGTCAAGGCTGACAGTGTCTCTAGTCGCAGGCACCTGACGTTATTTCTATTAAAAGAAATATAAGTAACGTCAGCTGCCTGAGCTTCTAGTTTATTATTTCTCTATACATGTATAAAAACATATGTATAGAGGTTGACTTTTCATTTTGAAGTTGTATGTTTTTTATCAATTTTTATTTACAGAATGTGGTTCTGTCAGAAACAGTTATTACACCTCACTGCTGTCTGTTCCTGCTCAATCAAGTGTTCTCACATATCACCCTGGCAACAGGCCATTTCCCCCAAGAAATGCTCGATTCTGTCAATATACTGCTGTTAGACATTGTGTGCCAGGTGGAGGACCTGTGTGGAAAGGTTGCCATAGATACAGTGTGTAGAGACCAGTTGTCTTGGTTACAGAAAACTTCCTGTGCAATTCATAACGCAGAAACAAGAGACATGGTTCAAAAAAAGCTGCTGTCAGTTTTACTTGTACATTGAAGTCTTTCATATGTCATTTCAATAAAAAATTTATATTTTTCAAAAAGTTATTATCTACGTATTGAAAGCTTTGAAGTATGAACAGCATATTAGTTCTACACTATTTGTTAAGCAAGAAATATAAAAACGAACATTTTCACTAACCAATGTTTGTGGTCCACTCTGCCCCTACATCATGAGAAGCAAAGTGGACAGGAAAGTCCTGGCTAGCAAAGGTGTTTCTCACATGAAGCAAGGTACAACTGTCATTTTAAATTACTGTGAAATCACTAATTTTCATGTAGGTTTAATTTTTCTTTGTTTTCAAGGTATAATGAGTCCCACTAATTTATGTCCACCATGAAATGTAAAATTCCTTATATATAACTATGCAGCATTTTTTTATCCGCAAAGTCAAATTCCCACATGCATATTTTTTCTCAATGCACAAAATTTGACCCCCAAAAAAATATATGTGTTTTTACAGTAGTTGTGCAAAAAATAGCAAGCGACTTAAATTCCTTCAAGAAAGTTCCTCAAAGCCCATGGGCCTCATCAGGCATCTGAGCTTATCAGCTATGAAAAAGCACAAACTGGTTTGTTATTGAAAAATTATCGGGTTTTGGGGCTTGGATTTTATACTTGTTGAGGATGCCTCCTTATCAAATAAGCATATAACTTTGCCAAGGATAAAAAAAAATCAGGATTTTCCCCCCTATATATAACTTAGTTAAAATTTGATCCCCCTATATGGCCTGTCCATACCCTGAGATCATGATTTGAACAAAATTGAATCTTCCCTACATGAGAGTGCTTACATGTCAATAGACTGTATGACTAAACATAGCTTTTCTATTCTTGAGAAATTTTTTTCCTATTTTATTCTATGTAAAACTTTGATCCCCCATTGTAGCCCCACCTATCCCCAGGGGTCATGATTTAAAGAAACCTGAATCAAAATCACCTGAGGGTGCTTCCATAGAACAAGAGATCCATGGGCCACAAAGCTCACCTGAATAACTTTAACCATGCTGCTCTTCACCAGATTTTCCCCCTAGTAATACCTATTGTGGTCCCACCCTATGGCCGGGGGGTCATGATTTGGAAAATTTAAAATCTACACTACCCGAGGTTGCTTCTGTGTAAGTTTCAGCTCCTCTGACCCAGTGATTCTTGAGAAGTTTTTGTAAACAGATTTTTCCTATATATTTCAATTTCAAAGTTGGATTCTCTATTGGGGCTCTGCCCTACCCTTGGGGGTCATGATTTTAACAATTTAGAATCGACAATACCCCAGGATGCTTCCACATAAGTTTCAGCTTTTCTGGCCCAGTAGTTCTTGAGATTTTTCCTATCTATTTTAATATAAAACTTGGATTCCCTATTGTTGCCCTGTCCCGGGGTCATGAATTGATCAATTTAGAATCTACACTACCCCAGGATGCTTCTACTTAAGTTTCAGCTTTTCTGGCCTAGAAAAGAGATCTTGGCCAATCATTTTAACAATTTAAACTGATGCTTTGAACCAAGTTAGGTTTAAATTCAATCTGATTAAGTTAAAATTGGCCCAGTGGTTCTTGAGAAGAAGTTGAAAATGTGAAAAGTTTACAGATGGACAGCCGGACTACAGGTAATCAGAAAAGCTCACGAGCTTTCAGCTCAGGTGAGCTAAAAATGTATGCAGTATTTGAATAATTTGAAAATTCGACATGCAAATACTGAATTTCTGATTATATAGAATATTCAAACATTACAGGATAAATCTGAACTTGCACTATAGAAAATACAAAAAAAAGAGTTTGAAGATTTAATATTTATTTCAATGACAAAAATTATTTAAAATAAATAAAACTGATCAGAATACAATGTCTCTGATATCCAGGCCATTCCTTTAAAATATGACAACAGAAAGTTTCATTATATTTGGTCATCAAGTAAAATTAAACAACTTCTATGCAGTAAAAGTATTCTATTGGCAAATCTTTCCTACGTAAAAATGATGATAAACATCATTATAACTTGTCCATGTCTAGAAGCTGCCAACACAACTCTTCTGAAATCCAGGAAATGACTGTGATATTACAAATAGAACAAATACTGAAGTATTTCTGAACATGACACAGCTGACTCTGGAGTTCTTGTTAGAAGCAGAATTAATCATCATCATTAAAGTAAGATTCTGTGTTAGGGAATCGGTCTTTGTTGTAGTCTGTATCATGGGACACTCTGTGAGATATGGCGTTATGAACTTGTTCGTCGTACGCTGACTGTAGCTCTGTGTCGGTACTGGCCTCTGTTCTCATGTTCTCCATGCTGCTAATAGGCTGTACCCCTGCAACCCTCACTGCCTCTGTCAGCTGATCTGTTAAGGACTGCGGAGTATTGGCAAGGTCACCAGGTCTGTCTTGTGTCATCAGCTACAAAAAGGTCAGTATTTAAAAATGTATACTTGCATGGAAAATGGCAGCAGTCAAGAAATATAGACTTGCTTTAACAAAAGAACTTCATGCAATGACGATAATTTCATGAAGATAATTATGGAAATGTTTGAGGAGTTGCAGCAGTGAACTAGTGGAAGTAAATGCACAATCTGTTGATCCAATTCATTTCTAACTTAAATATACTCAGTACTTACTCGTCTACGTTTTGGGGGCATTCCATTCAAGTAGGCATCACTAAATGGAGGTTGGTGCCTCTGTTGTTTTTGTTTTTGAACATCACCATTAATTACTGGCACCCATTCCTGTCAAAATAGACATAATCATGTACATATACGTTAAATTCTGAAAATGATTTTGCTTGATACTGTAATGGCTGACTGTAACTCACAGCAGGGACCTCTCTTTCCCAGCCCTCTGAGCTCATGGCAGCCCCGGCAGGCTCTGGTTTGGGGGCTGTCGCAGGCTTTCTGGTACTGGAGTTATTTCCATTTACTAGTCTGCTAGTGCTGGGCTGGGCAGCTGCTTCCTCTGGCTTAGACATGTCTACATCCATCTGCTAACAAAATCAACACGACACATAAAATACAGTGTCCTTTTTATCCAACTCATAAGCATATTATCCTTCTAAATAATGTTAACCACTAATTTCTACCTGCAAGTCTCATGACTATGTAAAATTCAAAATATATAGATGACTGTTAACAAATTAATGAAGCAAATGATTAGGAGGGGTACATGTAGTTTGAGTCCAGACCTTGCTCTCGCCTGCCTCTGGCTGTGAGGCCCCTGGGGAGGTGGTGTCCATGGGAGACAGTTTGGCGGCCTCCTCTCCCGCCTTCTTTTCTTTTTTCAGGGCCAGGTAAGTCGTAATGTCAGCCTCAGTTACTGTTATTGTTGGCAGGAATTGATTCAGCTGTTGTGTAGTAACAGTTATCATCCACTGTTGAATCATGGGATTCACTCCTCGTGTGATGTATTGCTGGAAAACAACATTCAACATTTGGCCACAATAAATAAATTGCTAGATTCTCATCCGAATTTTTTTAAAAATCGAGGCGGGCGGGCGGCTTTTATTTTATATTTTTTATTTTTTCAATTTTGCAGATTTGTTATTTATTGACCTGGTCAATCGGAGTAATTTTATCTACAATACCCAAATAAAAGTCATAGTAAAGGTTCATGTCTTTTACTTCACATCATCACCAATCCTTTTCAACCAATGATCCTTGTTTAAAATATATACGCATGTATTACAGCTATTACCATCTTTTCAGCTGTCAAAATCATGTCGACTTTCGCGGAATTTAAAACGAAAGTAGAATGGTAGATGAATACCAATCCCGATCAGAATTAAGACGGAGAAAAATAGAAATAAAAAAAATCGAGGCGGGGTATAAAATCGGAGCGGGCGGGGATGAGAATCTAGGAATATTTTTATTATGGCCTTTTCTACCAAAAAATGTACTAAAAATCATTTTCTTTTTAATATTATAAAAATCAAATTTTTAGCAAGAAAAAATACTAAAGTGTAGAAATGAGAACATGGATAAGCACAGAAGTTAGTTTCTGACAATGAGAAGATTATATTTGGTGCGTGTACATCTATCAAATATTAAATATGCCGTTTTTCCCTCCAAAATTTCTTTCTCTGAGAGTAATGAAATGTGCAGTTCTCATCTTGTGTTAATATTTCTTCAAATAATAAGGGAAACTTACCAGACGATTTTGTATCAGGGCTTGGAGACCAGCCATGCCTCCAGTTAAACAGTGTCGAGTCAGTATAATCAGCACGGAGAGAGCCTGTCTCATTCTGTTGTACAACTCCTGACCAAATCCTCCATCTGACTCTGTAAAAGACAATTAAATTGAATACATAACTTACATGTTTTACACATACTGCTTCTTAACAGTAATGCTGTGGTGAACTTACCTGCTCTCATGATGAATGTAATGATGCTTATTAACTGTGTTCTGAAAAAATTATTCCAGGTCTCAACTAGATTGATCTGTGGCTTTACTTCTGAAACACTCTGAAAAAAAATAAACAATACATTTTTTGAATACTGCTGTTTAAAATTATATCCTAGGGTAGTTACATAGTTACCGTGCAGATCAAGTTGTTTTTTTCTAATTCCATGAAACTCACAGTGCCTAGTGAAAGTTTTTTTTTTTTTTTAATTTAACTTGCATATTAAATTAAGAAACTGAGATACATGTTGAATACTTTTTTAAGTGTTTCTATACAAGGTTGTCTTACAGCTGTTTCTCTCAGTTCTTCCTGCATGTCATTAACGAGAGTATCTACAGCCTGGACGATGTTCTCGGGGCTTGCCTCCCGACCGTTCAGGATCCTCTCACGGAAGAACTGCTGTAATGGCCCCCGCAGCTGATCCAGGGGCTGTCCCGACCCATAAAATACTTGTATTAGATGGGGGAAGGTCAGGTGATTAGATACCACATTGAAAACATCATGAATGAAACCTGCTGAAGAGAGAGAGATATAGCTTACATTAATACTAGACTACAGAGATACATTACTATTACTTCTATAAAATACCTATATGTAAACCACACTGCATATTTATTTGCAACACCTCTTTGTCCACAAGATGAACTGCAACAACTATAACCAGTTTATCTGGTTATCAATTACTACATAGATTCTGTATTGCTAAAGTTTAAATAAGGAATGGTAAATGTACATTAGCATATGTCGAGAAAAAACTGATCTCAAAATCAATCAGACCAAAAAGGTGAAACTTAAATAAAAGCTTCCTTAGGTAGTGTAAATTCTAAATTATTCAAATCATGTCCCCTAAAGGTTTGGTGGCACCACAATAGGGGATCAAAGTTGTACATTGAAATATACATGACTTAACTGTAGAAAATCTTAGAAATCTTAAGCATATCAGAGCTAAAGTTACTCAGAAGGGCATTGTGGTTTCTTGTTCTTGAAATCTGCTGATAGATGTAGATGCAAGTACAGAGGGGATATAATATAACCCTGCACCTACCCTCTCCTGGCACAATCTGGTGATTTTCTCCAAGGTTTGACAGGAAGGTAGAGATGGTCTCAGGAGGACCCTGTCCTAACGCCGTCCTGGTTACAATCCCACTGATTCCCTGAACCAAGGAAGCAAACACATCATCAGTCATCACGGGCTCTGTGGTGCTAGAGGAAGCCGGGGAGGAGGTGCTCGTGGGAGTGGATCCAGCAGGGGTGGTGGTGGATCCGGCAGGAGTGGAGGCTGTGGTAGAAGGGGTGGCGGGGGGACCAGACTGCTGCTGCTGTAGGATAAGCAGGGTAGGAATGCATGGAATAGCAGATAACAAAAGAAATCCAATACACGTATAATACAGTAATACACAGTTAAATTGAAGTGTCAGGGTTGTGCAATTTTGGTTCATTATGAACGTAGTGAATTATATCCATTAACTTCACAACATGATTAAAACCCATTGGGAATTAAAATCACTTTGCTAGGAGCATCAATTCATTATAAGCATGTTTCCTATTGTGTAGCGTGTTTTTTGTAATGAATCTAAAATTTCTTAATTTAACTACATCATAGTTTTATAATTCAGGAAAACTCATTTTATATTTAAAGTTTTACATGTACAGGTGACTCGAGATCTCTCGAAGTTCAAGGGACCACAAGAAAAGTTCGAGAGATCGAGGGGTTCGAGAGATAGAAAGTAAATAAAATCCGGAATTTTCAGTTCTGATCATCGATGTTCTACTATTATAGATACCGGAAGTATAGGTATATAAAGTTAATGCATGTTTTTAATCGTATTTTACAGGTAATATACTTGATATCAACAACAATGATCGTATTTCGAATAAATGAAATGAATTCCTGAAGTTTCAATATTTGTTCTTATTTCAAGATAATATGAAACCCGAATAGCAATCGTCGGTTTGACTATTCCGCGGCTTGATCGGGTCCTTCACCAGTGTTCACCAGATTTTTCTGAAATTAATTTTTTTAAAAATTATCGTCTCGGTTTCAAGTCAAAATAAGTTGTGAATTCGTTTATAATTTACCAATAATAACCAATTAATTATATCAACACACGGACGACCCACAGGTGTAGTGTCATCTATGTAAACACCCAATTAACACCTCCATGCAAACCCCAGGCGTTCACTGCTTTTCCAGGTAAGTCCAGGCTCAATTTGATGCTTGATACATAACTTTGAGAGATAGAGAGTAAAATTCAATGAAATATGTGTAACGGGAACCAGGTTTTGGTTCGAGAGATAGAGAACTTTGAGAGATAGAAGTTCGAGAGATCAGGAGTAAATCTGCTTGATTATATAGCGGAAAAAAACGGGACCGTAGGTTCACTTCGAGAGATTGAGAACTTCGAGAGATCGGAGTTCGAGCCATCGAGAGTCACCTGTATGTGCAAGGCATGACGCTGTGTTGTGGCAGTATATTGTGCTTGATGATGACTAGAACTTACAGCTGTTGCCAGCATGGACCTCAGCATTTGGACAAACACAGGTTCTCCCTGCTGCCCTCCCCCAGGCTGTGAACCTCCAGCAGGAGCACCCTGGGGCTCAGAGGGGGGTCTGTTGCTCTGGGGCTGGGGTGGTCTCATTCCTGGAGCAGGGGTGCCTAGTGGAGCACCAGGCCTCATCATTCCTAAACCTCCTATAACAACCCATAACAACACAATTAAACCTGCTATATAACTTTACTTACACCGATATTTCCTTTGGAACCTAATAACATGTGCATGAATTTGAATTAACTTGAATATTGAATATGTCTTCAATGTGTATAAAATGTCATTTTATTTACTGTCTCCTGAAGATCAGAATCATTAAAGCGAGCATGTAATGAAAACTATCACCTGACTGTGAATTTCCCCAATTATCCATCTTCATACTGGGAGATTTTTTAAAATACATGTACATGTATTTCTTACCCACCTTTACATGGCTGTCAAATTATACATGTTTTTAAAATATTAAACTATTTGAACCTACACTACATTGAAGTTCCATGTTAAGTTTATCAAAGCATAAATTCATCAAAAACAAATGTTTAAACTATATTAAATTACATTATTTAAATAGAAGTAGCCATACCTGTCCCCAGATTTACATTATCTAAATAGAAGTAACCACATTATCTAACAGAAGTAACCATACCTAACCCCAGATATAAATTATCTAAACAGAGGTAACCATACCTAACACTGGATATACATTATCTAAACAGAAGTAACCATACCTATCATGTTTCCTAACACATTTCCTATCTGGCCCGCTCCAAACATGCCCGGGGGAAATGGCACTCCAGCTGGTAAGCCGCCCATCTGTATAGAGACACTGGGCATCCCCGGCCCACCAGGAAACTGGGCAAAGTGGAAGTTAGGAGGCAGTCCAGAGGTGGAGGAGGAACTGTAAGTACCCACATTATAATGTATTAATACAATTTTGTGCAAAATCATCCTACTTCCAAAACAGAACACACTATCTAATAAACTGAACCATCAATTTTACACAATATCTCTATAAGTCTTACTTGTATTATTAGTTACACAGTCAGTTTGTGACCTAATACGGATTCATACAGGGTGTGAAATGGAAATCCGTATTGGGCGAGGCCAAGCCGAGTCCCAATACGGATTTCCATTTCACACCCTGTATGAATCCGTATTAGGTCACTAACTGACTGTGTAACGAATTTATCCCGCTAAAGACCTTTTTTCAATATTAAAAAAATATTTGGGCATATCATGAATCCGTATTAGGTCACTAACTGACTGTGTTAGGAATTTATCCCGCTGAAGGCCCTTTTTCAATATAAAAAAATATTTGCGCATATTATGAAAATATTAAGTTTAATCCAATAACAATCAACATATAAAATCGTTACGGTAACAAGAAATTTAAATAAACTACTTACGTAAACCGTTTCTTAGCCGCCATTTTTATTTACAATAACAACGCTTCGAACGGAATCGCGTGCCCGATTTTCATATTACTCCTAGACGGAGACGTAATACGGAAAATTTCAGGGCGTCATGTGATCAGCCTTTATCCAATCAGCAATCTACAAATTTGTCTGAAGCGGGATAAGAAAATTTATTGTATATGTATAATTATAATAATAATAAACAAAAGATAAATCCTGACTTATTTACCAGGAGATAGAAAACCTTTATTGGAAGGTACAAAATCTCAGAGTTAGTTAGTGGGAGATTACCTTGACGTGGAAGTAGAAGACCCTGTGGTGGTTGTTGTACCACCCACCCGGGCTGATGGTGCTGACCCTCCAGTAGAAGAGGTGCTTGTTGCTGTTCTGGGTGCAGAGCTGGGCATGGCACTAGCTGTTCCTGTCGTCCTAGGTCCACTCTGCTGGGTTTGTAGTTGACCCATTACGTTTGCCATTAAATTTGGCATGCTTATCTGGAAATTCATCATGCATGTTATAATTACTCCAAAACAATTCTAATGAACAGTCTTTTTTAATCCTTTGAAAATACAGGCATATGACCTAATAATTATAATCCCATAACGATCTTTTCCAGGTGTAATTGTATCCTTGTAACTTGATAAACAACTGACCTGTACTTGAGCTCCTTGCCCGGCAGCATTTCTGACTTGCTGTCTGAGGAAATGTCGGGACGAGCAGGGTAAGTATGGATCCACCCCGCCCCTCATTCCCCCCATCCCTCCGATCCCAGGTATTCCAGGAAGTCCTGGGGGTAATCCTCCTGGTAAACCTGGCACTACAAACGCTGCAGCGCGAGGACGAGTCTGGGTGCCTGAGGTGTTTGTAACAGAGGCAGCAGTCTGGGTCTCTGAAGAGTTTGTCTGTCCTGGGTTTGTCTGTGTAGAGCTTGAATTAGTTTCTGAAGTTGATGTATTGCTAGGAGTTGCTGTGACTGGGGTAGATGTGGCAGCCTCAGCATAGCTTCTAGTTCCAGGCAGATTCACTTGCACTCTTCCAGATGGGTCTGAATTGAAAACATTATTCTTTTAAAATTTTAATTTAATACTGATCCTGCTCAAAAACTTTCAATGGACTTGCAATCATATGTTCACAATTTAAGAATGCAATAAAATCACAGTTCCTGCCATCAAGTCCTTAAAATCTTAAATGAACCAATCTGTGTGACAATTTTTTTAAGGTTTTGAATCACCAAGAATATGGAAAAATTTATTTCTTAATTGTATAGAAAATAAGCGATAAAATATTATATCACATATGTGTATTAATCTATATTAGATACCTATGGTGCCCATCATCACTGAGGATACGATGTTTTGGATCAGGTCTGGAGGTATGGCCGGCATGGTGCCACTAGATGACGAGGCTGCAGGCACTGGAAAGAAAGAGAAATTTTAAGCATATTTAACATAATAAAGTATTTTACACATGCATGTTACAAATTAGAATACAAAAAATACAACATTTTGAAGCTTGAGAGCCTTTTTGTGTAGGGTTGTAATGGTCTGATATAAAAATCTTACCCTGTATTGAACCTGTTGGCATATCCCTCTCTGTTGTAATGACATGAGCAGAAATCTCTGTAACAGAATCCGGGCCCATGTCAATCATTTGGAACAGAGGTTCTGAGCCCTCGGGTGGGTTCCCTGTGGCACCAGCATGTGGCATCCCAGCTGTAAAAGTGGGCCCTGTGCTTGTCCCTGTGGATTGGGTGCTAGTTCTTTCTGTCTGAAAAAGAAAATAATGAATCTGTTGTGATCTCCTGTCTGTCTTGCTAATAAACTGTGTGCAAGGTATACAGTGCCCTTAACAAAACTGACATTTATATAACCATCACATCATCCTTCCAGGGTGCTATTTATGATCAATAACTCAGTAAGCCAGTAAATTTTTTAAATCTTTGACTACCTGAGATCCAGCAGCATTTGTGGGTGGTGTAGGGGTGGATGTAGAACTTGATGAGGTGGACACAGTTGACTGAGTTCCGGTATTCCTTCTTCCAGCTCTTGGACTCTGACGAGGAGACTACAAGTCACACAATGCTTTTTCATCATAAAACCAATTGGAGCATGAGCATACACCTCATTTTAAGACTAAATACATTTAATTCATGATGACTCTAACACCAACAGAAAGCTCTTAACTTCTGAGTTTCATATAAAACATTATAATAGAGAAAATTTCCCTTTAAAAATCAAACATAAAAACTTACGGCATTAATGTGTACTGGTATAGTTTGCTGGTGTATGAGGGTTGTCTGGACAGGAGGGGAGATAAATGCAGCATATAAGTGTCGAGGTCGCGCTTGATTTAGATCTATCATCAAATCACTCAAATTGTGGTAACAGTGACTGATTGCATGAGTTATTTCCCCTACTAGGTTACACAGCTGGGTATTTTCATGAACTTCCTGTTAAAAATTCATAAGCATTATATGAAACAATTGAAATTAAATTCTCAATTATATGTCTCAATTTTTAAAAAAATAATATTAATTTATCTATTCTGACTATAACGAGTCAATATCTCATGAGCTTCTCTGAGCTCATGAGCTAAACTTTAGTTTTAAGACAATAACATACCATACATAGCTTGAGAACAGTAAACTTCTAAACAAAGATTCTAAATGCACTGGGTGTTACCTGTTCAGACAACTCCGGATCATCCAGCAGGAGTCGCTGATATTGTTCAAGGAAGGGTTGGAATCGGCGATTAATTTCATGTACTTCATTCAGTACCTCTCCCAAAGCGGATATACGGGGACGACTAAAAGAAATGCATGTCAGAGTAATGTGACTGGTTATTGTACACATGTATACAAAATAGGATGGGCAGTGAAAGAAATCCTTAATATCAAAATCAAATTTATACAATTTATAAAAAATTTAGTTTTTTAAACCTAACTTTAGACTGAAGGGGAACTAATAGACCCTTTTCCTATGACATATTTTGCCTAGGAGTTATTCCCCTTAGCCGCCATCTTGTAGGGCAAAGTAGTGAATTTACCTCTTTGAGCAACCAATTTTAAAATGCATGCAAGAAATATATGTTGGAAAATATTTACAATTTTAAAATCATGAATTAATAGAAGCCTTGAAAAACGTATATTCATAAGAAAAATAGTGTTATCTTTACCTCATTAACCAATATAACAAATTGAATATAATGAGGGGATCTGGATATGTTGCCCTACAATATGGCGGCTAAGGGGAATAACTCCTAGACAAAATATGTCATAGGAAAAGGGTCTATATGTACAAGTCTTTTATATTCACAGGCATAAAAAATGGGCAGATACACATATATAAATGGGCAGATACACCTAACTACATGTATACAACTGTAATAAAGGCTTCTTAAGTATGAAAAATTAGAGATGCCTACACCATCCTGGGTTGTTCTGGTGTGGCTCCACTTTGAGAGGATCCCGCCCCCTCCTGACTTGACTGCTGGGATTGGCTGTTTGTTTGACTTGTTTGTGCCTGTGATTGGCTGGATGACTCGTCACTCTCCATGGTAACATCACTACTCTCTCCAGTTGCTTGCTGGGATTGATCAGGTCCCTGTGGTGTGGCATTTGAGCCATTTGTTGTTGATGATTCAGTAGCATCTGTTCTTTCACCTGCTCTCTGGCGATTCTGGTCAACAAAAACCAGTAAGTTGAAACAAAAAGATGAATTCTAAATCAAAATCTTAATAACATAATATTTACAGCTCTTACAGGAGGGTCATTATGAAAACATTCTTCAAGTATAATAAAAAGTGACTGCACAAAAGTAGAAATTTTGTCAAGGAAGATTTGTAATTTCTTTATATTTAAGAAATTATTTTCAACATTTACACCAAATTAAGTTTAAAACATTTCTATTTAGCAATCCAGGCTTCCAATAATATGTTTGTATCATCTTTTCTTAACATTCAGAATTTTTCTCTTTTTTTGGTGTAATGCATTCTTACCTCCAATGTTTGGAGATTATCTTGAGCTATTCGTAACATCTGTCTGGCGTGGTTAATTCTTTGCTGTGATTCACTTTCCACCTGACCTTGACCTTGGCCCAAATGTATATGTACATCTACTGATGATCCATCGTTCTACAATAAAAAAAATAATAAAAATAATCAGTGATAATTTACTCTTAAAACTGCCATCTTTCTTTATAGCAAACTAAAATTCTGACAAAATTTCATTTACTTTTTTTTCAAATCACATTCACCAACAATTACACAAGTCTAAACAATTCAAAGTTTCATTTTACTGGCCTTTACAATGCATGAAATTTTCCACTTAAATCATGGATTCTACAAGCCTTAACAAATCATAGATTTGTTTAAAAACAACTCACTGAGGTTCTGGTAGATACTCTGGCATTTCTTCCCATATCTCCCATCCCACTGATGGCATCTTGTACAATGTTCTAGAGAACAATTATTGTAAATGTTAAATAATGTCAATTATAACAATTTTGTTTACACAAAACAAAAACAGAAACTAGTTCATTTAAGATTTTTATTTTATCTATGAGGTGATTACTTCAAGATTGTGAAATGTTACTTAGATATGAATAAATTAAAAAAGTCTGAATAGCTATATACTTTGTAATAAATATCCAAAACTCTGAATACAACTGCAACAGAAAAACTAAGACATAAACAAGGAGTACAAAAATACATATCAAACAGAACAATTACTTGCCAAGACTATTGGTAAATAACCCTAAAATCAGCATCAAATAAACACAAAATATTGGACAATTTCTTTAAAGGTTTGGTTACCAAGTCAACTAAACAATTTCTCCTTTAAAGAACATGGTTTTCAATACACTGTATAACTTTTGCACAGATCATGGTTTTCAAATATAAACAAGACATACATGTACCTGGATTTCATCTGTGTCCACTGCATCAGAGGGGACGGAAACTGACCCAATGACAAAACTGTTTACATCTCTACCCCCAGGAGGCCGATGGGAGGGAGTGGCCCCTCCAGATGATGAACTTGGGGGTCTAGCACTTGGTGGCATTCTGTGAACAACATGGATCACTTTTCCATGTACGTCTAACCGGGAAAAAAATAAAGGTAATCATTAGTCAGCTTTTTTTGCCTAAAAACACAGCCACATATAGGCATATATATGTTTTGAATAGGTTTGAAAACATTTGACTTATTTATTATTTTACTTGATATCATTGTTTACAAATTTTAATGACTCCAATGCCAAAAAAGTATCTCTTAAACACAGTGGATTCCTTACATCTAAACATTTTCATTTATGACACAAATTCATTTATATGCATACTATACTAATAGTCTTGAAGATTAGCTTACTGTAGTCTTTCAAAAGCTTTTCATCTTGCATAACCCTTCCTTGGAAAATCAACCTTTGTGTGTCTGCAGAAATATTCTGAAAAATAATGGATAGTAAAGAACTAAATAACTTATCCATTCAATGCCTATATTTCTTTTCAAAATTATTTGTCTTTAATAGGCACTCACTAGTTAGTCATTATGTCAAGTTGAAATAAAGATGATTGTATTTTAACAAACTGAAGTATATATGTTTACAAAATTAAAAAAATAAACAATTCCTTAGAAAAGGAATGATTTCCTCAACAGAATATAATAATGATAGTGAAAACTTTCACATTTTTTTTTTAAAGAAAGATAATTTTTATATTGAAAATTACAGAATCGGGGCATAAAGGACATGAGTAAATATTGATCTAAATTTGATAAAGTAAATGGAGAGTGATCAAGAAACAACAGCATGTCCTTTACTTACAATTGAGTCAGCTATTTTCTCTTTAAACTGGCGTACAGTCATCTTTTATGAAAAATAAATACATGAGAAAAAATGTACATCACTAGCAATATACTACATTATATTGGACAAGAGATGTTTTAATAGTCCCATTACAGAAAAACTTGTTTAGTACAAACACAGATATTGCGAAGTTACCTCGGATCCCCAACTATATAAAATAAACCAATTCCTTATACAGATATAACGAATTACGGACATGATGGATATAGCAAAGTAATTTCATAGGTCCCAGTGACTACGTTATAACCCAGTTTCACTGTATACCACATCAATACTTCTGCATTTAAACTCCAAATACATTAATATCTTGTCCTTCAAACTTTCAATCAACTGAGTTTATTTTTTTTCAAACTTTTGGTATTAAATCAGCAGAAATCTTGAAGTCTATGGGAATTTAACTTTATTTAATGCTTAACAGAAACTGATCTTTCATTATTCATGATTTAAAATCTTTGGCAAATTTTAGATTAAGTATCAAAATTATTACATACAGAAATCTCTCCACAAAACAGAATTTTTTTTTTAAATAATTGGCTTTGGGAGGGGGGTGGGTGGGTTATCCCTTCAAGATCTCTATGTATATGTTCTTGTCAGATCATTTTCAACAGGCACTCACCTCTTCTTCCACACTAAAACTCTTATTCTGAGAGTCCAGAGTTTTCACTGTGACGTCTATCATCTTTATTTCTTGTTCTAAAACTGCAAAAAAAAAAATAAAAATAAATAAATATGTGTCCAACCCTCACTATTATTATGCCAACGTATTACATAATACATGTTGACTGGTGTACGTTGTGTATACACCAATTTTACAATATTCTCAATCCAAACAAGTTAGCAGATGTTAACTCTATATGAAAATTACCTAACATTCTTAAATGAAGTGTTATATCAAACAGTGTTTTAAAGACTCTGAAGTATAAGTTCATGTTACGTTGGAATTTGGGTTTTGGATAAATTTGAAAATTTGTTAGAAAATTTTAACGATACCAATCTTTTTGAGATAATATTCATTTATTTTTGTGTGTGTGTCAAACGTATGAAAACTGAATTTGAACATGAGTTTCATAAAGTATCAGTGTTTGTGGTGCAATACTTTTATTGGAATAACAAATACATTTAACATTTAAAATTGGATCAAAATTGGCATGTTTTGTGTTGTCCACATTGTCATGATGTCCCAGTCAGACGGCCAAACAAATCTCTTATTAGAAGTGATCCAGTGATGGAAATCAAACAAAGTGGTAACATGTTGGACTAAATAATGTTCTTGAGATTGTGAGTTCCATCTCTGGTTACCTAAGTGTGGGTCAGGGTGGTAAATACACTTTCTCTAGATAAGACATTTATGTCACTATTTTGTCAGTAGGCTATTTTAAAAATCGTTAGAACATGTACAATTCAAAAATAGTTGGGTATTGATTATAAATACAAGATATAGAGACAAACTGACAGGAAGCATATTAATTTAATTTGGCATCTTTTATGTTTATATCATGTAAATTCTTAATGTATAATATGCGAAAGTAGTTGCATATTAATTATGTAGAGACAAACAGATAGCATATAATCCATATTAAGAGTTTAAGTAAGAGCCTAAAAATGTATAGAATGCACAATACATGATGATTTTTCAGTCTTTTTTGCTTCCCAGTAAGCTGATCACTTTCACACTTGATCTAGTATATACAAATTTGTGAAAACGATAAAATCGACATTAAAATTGAAAATTTAGGGAAAATGTTTCATTGTTTCGTACCTACTATACACTAAATATTTTCTTTGCACCAACAGAAAGTGAAACAGACGGAATTTTTCTAGGCCTATGCTGAGTCAAGTCAGTTTGGGGTGCTGGAAATCGCCATATTCTTGGTTGTCGTAAAATAAAAAAGATCGTTTTGTTTCTAATATTGTTAAATATTCTTAATTATCTATTAAAATCCCATATTTTATCATCCATTTGTAAGCGTTTCTCATCTCCACCATCTCAATTTTAACATACGCAGATCAAACTAATTTTACGACTTCATTTCTTAATTTGGTAAACACTAAAAATAAGGACACGCCATTGCATGTAGCTGTGCAACAAACTAACTTAAAAACGCTTTAATTTTTGTATTTTTAGTATATATTCGGCAAAAATGGCAACAGCAGACTGGGATGAAGTCACTTATATTAGAAAAAAGCAACCCAAAGCCAGTCAGTTGCGTTCTCAACAGGTAACTTGCTCCATTTGTTTACCCTATGTTTGAATTTCTGGAACTATTCATCAAATCCGGTTTGTTACAGTTCAAAGAAAAGTTGTCGTATTTTTACTGAAATGATATATGTGGTACATTGATGAAGAGCATACTCAAATGAAAAGAACATACAGAATGTAAAAACTAAAATATGATGATGTAATTTCATATGAAATTTAACACATTATGTAAATACATTCACACATCCCTTTACTGTGAAACAGTGTTATCAAACTCTGTGTGATGAATTGGTACATGACTAATGAACAGCAGGTCTATTGCTGTTTTGGTCATTGTTAATACATGCCACAATATGGCATAAACTCTTTTCCCCTCTACTGTTCTATTTGACATCTAAAACAATTCATAGTCAATGATATTGAGACTCTGTGGTCTGAAAGGTTTACTCATTATCAAACATTTACTCATTATCAACTAGATACCCTAATTGGATGAGCACAATTGTTCATAAATTAATAAAATTATGGGGTCTGGGTTCAAATCCCTTTCTGGTCTATCACATTTTTTTATGCGCCCGGATCGATAGATCCAGGGCATTTATGAGTCATTCTCTGTAAGCATCAAAATGGGCTGGAAATTGATTTTCACAGATTTTGATGAAACTTGGTGAAATAACTATATTATAAGCCCGATTTACAAAAATATTATTGAAAGTGACCAACTGGTCTTGTTTCCATGGCAACCAGGTTACCTGTTTTTGCACAAGGGTGGAAAATACCAAAAATGATATTTCTTCTCATTAATATACATTTAATTAATAAAGGTGATTATTATTATTTTTTCCATTGAAATAATTTGTTATTTGTATTTATAATCTAGTAAAATCCATATAAAGTTCATGTTTTGAAAGTCTTTAGTTTGTATTATTGTTTATTTTCGTATGTAGAATTACATGGTAAAATGAAAAATAAGAATTGAAGTCCATGTCAACCTCAAGTTTCCATGTTTTTCCATACCGCGATACAATGAGACTCTCCAATTTAGGAGGTAAATAAGACTTCCTGTTTTAAAAATAGACTACAAATTAAACGATGCAAGCTTGGGAAATAGTTTGATACTAAAAAGTTAGGCCATAGTTTGCTTTATGAATATCATTTGATGAAAGTTAAATTTAAAAAATCAAATTACACTTTTTTATGCAAAAGATTTAAGTACCGCGATATAATGAGACACCTGTATACATGTTTGTGTATAAGATGTGAATGTGATAAACTTAAAAATGGATTGCATCCTATGAAATTCCTACCTATGTGATAAGTGCTGCATCATTGAAAAAAAAGTGTTTAAAAACAAAGTAACGTCAGTTAAATGGACTTCAAAGCTAAGGATGGGATAATAAGGTTGTGATGAAGTAATATACATGCATGGCAATAAGAAGATCACTATAGTCCGCCGGTGTCGGGGGCTTTTTTTATTTGTTCCCCTCTAAAAAGGAGTTCCTAACCCTAGCCCTAACCCTAAGTCTTACATAGGCAAGTACCAATGAAATATTTACCATGTACATTGAAAGTTGCACATATTTTGTATGAGTTTATTAATAATAGGGTATGACTATTTATTGTAAAAATAACATTTAAGTACTCAAAGCATAAATAATGACATGAATCTCATTACATCAATAATTTATAGTTTAGGCAAATTATCAATGTTATTAAAATCAGATGTTGATGAAAATTATATAAACCATCTGTTGATAAAAATTATACCTTATAATCCCTATTACCGTGGTAACTGCCCCGGGCACTTAGAACATTGCCAAGAGGGGGCGGTTATTTTGGTATTCTCTTTATAATATTTAAATTTTAATGTCAATTTTAACTTCAAAAATTTTAAAGAACCACTAAAATAATGTATAACTTTACTTTAAGTGAAGATAATCTACCCAAAGTATGCTATATGATTCATTTTCCACCGAGATATTCGATAATAGACAAGTTACATTTTCACTTTTTTCAAATTTTGGTATACTTTTGACACGATTCTAGATGATTTAATCACTGTACAGGGGGCCCTTATTTTCTGATAATTGAAAAAAGACCTATGAAATCACATCACTATAAACTGAACACGTAACAAAAATGCAATTTTCTTATAGATTTCAATTTTTGCAGGGCTGAAATTTGTTGATGCAAATTTTTTTTGAATGGGGATCGATGATCGTACGCGTGAGTGAACGTGTCCTTTCATTTGGGAACTTGAAGTTATTGCAAAAAATTGAAAGAACTTGGAAATTTATCTCTTTAATGTCAGATTATTTTATTGCAACAAAAAAAAAAAAAAATAAATTATTTAATTATTAAGATTTTTTGTCATAGCAAACGCTGTCATAGTTGAATTTAAGCCAAATTTATACAATGTGTACACTTTACTGAAACAATATGTAATGAAGGAATACATTAAGGTTTATAGGGAAATATGGCAATTTTCAGTGGAGAGGAGTTCCTTTTACGTACATGCAGAAATTGGGGATATGTAAAATGGTCGTTGTTGAAATCATAGATTTATGTGCCCAAATTTTTTTCTCTCTGAGAGAAAAAAATATTATATTTGATTAAGTCATATTTTATGAGGACATCTCAGTTTTCATTTATCACAGACTTTATGTTCTGGAAAATATTTTTAAGAAGCTTTCCAAATAGTTTTAGATAAAAATAAGTTATTTAAAAAATATTAATACAATTAAATCAAGCCCCACTTTTTTAACATATTGGAGGAGGGGTGGTAACATTTTATTGCCCCCCCCCCCCCCACTTTAACCCCCCAGAAAACTATTTCAGATAATTATATTTTTCCTTTCATATATCGATGTATACTTAAGAGTTTAACCCTCTCTACACTGCACACTAAAGAGTTCTGATTCTATGGTATTTTTTGCAGTAAGAGTGATCTGCCCTTAGATCTAAATTCTAAAAAATTAGAAATTCACAGTATATTACACAATTTGTAATGAGTTCAAGTATTCTTAACATTTTAATAAGACAAGCTAAAATTAATTGAACATGTTATTTACATACTAGTATTTTCTCTATGGAAGTATACAGCAGTGATTTCTATCTTTCTTTCTAACACTTATACTGTGTTGTGTTTGATTATTTTTCCTGGGGGTAAATGCCAAGCACCATATAGTGAAAATCATATAAATAAGCTCAATATTAACACCTTTATAGAATATATTTGTCTCAATGTCCTAAAAACATTTTGTACTGGTGTAGACAGGGTCCTTAAGGTAATATTACACTCACTTTGAGTTAAAATGAGGTTTTCTGTTGTTTGAATTTCAAAAGCTTCTAGGGAGTTGACTCCCAGGGGCATAGCCCCTACGGACAGTGTTTTGGACCTAATAAGAGTGGTGGTGGTTTGTATTATTATATGCTTTCCACTTAATTGTACTTTCCCTAATACTTATTTTAACCTCAATGCCTTAATGAGAAAGAACAAAATCACAAAATCTTTAAATTACATACTGAATTTTGATTGCCATTCTTAATTTATATGAAAAGACACTTATCTCTGCTGGGAAAACTTCAACAAATTTTTTTATGTATGGAACAGACAGACTCACGGATAAACAGGAAGTTGACATCAGATTTAAACGCAAATGTTACCCACCATGCATACATGTAACAGGGCTTTCAAAAAGATTTGAACAAGGTGGTACTTTATCAAAAATAGGAGGTACCACTCGGCGAACGCCGAAGGCGTGAGCTCGCTAGGGGGGTCCGGGGGCATGCCCCCCCGGAAAAATTTTGAAATTTAGAAGCCACCAGACAGCATTTCCTGGTTTCTAGACACATAGAAGTATGCTGTTATCAGTGTTATTTTTATGCCATGTTTCCAAGTTTATTTTTGGTCAATACACTTTACATGTGAAATTTAGCACTGGATGGATGGAATTACATAGAAAAATTAGTTATTTGAGCAGAGTAACAATAAGATTTAGGTAAAACTTCTAAGTTCTATGCTATATTTGTATATATATATTTGTTCAAAAAATTTTGCAAGGTTTGAGTTGTAAGTGGTATGTTTTAAATATAAAAAAAAAAAAAAATTGAGTCACGAAAGGAAATGGAAATTCAAAATTTAAATTTAATAAAAGAGAAATGAAATTGTATTTGCATTAAATGAAATTCATTTCTGTTCTACATTAAAGTGCAGATTAAAAAATAAATTAGAAGAAGCACTATATGTTTCATAGCATGTACCAATAAATTCAGCATATTTTTCATTTACTGGTACATGTACATATAAAATAATATACATGTGTAAATTACTCAAAGATGACATAAAATTGGAGACAAAAATTTTTTAGGTATGACTCCCTCACTTTACTGGATATGGTTACAATACTGGGAAGAAAGTAAACGTCCGCAAGGTCATTCTCTTGACCACTAGGAAACTGCTGAATCAAAGAATTAAATGTATGGCAAAAGAAATAGTTTCTGTTTTATGTCCTTTTGTTTCATCAGAAAGTTGCAGATTAATTTAAGACTGTAAGAAATTTATATCGTCAGCTGCGGGTTTTGACACTTAAATTTGAAGAGTTGAGGCTATCAAAATGTACAGAGGTGGTCAAAGAACTACCTATTGTTCATGTCGGTTTCTCTATTGGTC